ATGCCCAGGTAAAAACATTCATCTCTTACATATGCTGATGAGACAGGGAGGAGACTCCCTGTCTACTATAGGGAGTTACAGATTATAATGACAAAAAGTAAACCAAACTAGCAGAGTTACAGGCAAAATTTAGAACATGAAGAAACATAACTAGTAAGTTTGTGCTGATATCATCTCAGGACTGGGGGATGTCAAATACTAGAACATATTTTACTCCTGAAATGACGGTAGAGCCACTTCCAGGTGGTGCAAGCTAAAACATGGCTTGATTATTTTTTTTTTTTGAGACAAAGTCTTGCTTTTGTCCCCCAGGTTGGAGTGCAATGGTGCGATCTTGGCTCACTGCAACCTTTGCCTCCTGGTTTCAAGCCATTCTCCTGCCTCAGCCTCCCAGGTAGCAGGGATTAGAGGCACCTGCATCCAATCCCAGCTAATTTTTTTTTTTTTTTTTTTTTTTTTTGAGATGGAGTTTCGCTCTTGTTACCCAGGCTGGAGTGCAATGGCACGATCTCGGCTCACTGCCACCTCCGCCTCCTGGGTTCAGGCAATTCTCCTGCCGCAGCCTCCTGAGTAGCTGGGATTACAGGCATGCACCACCATGCCCAGCTAATTTTTTGTATTTTTAGTAGAGACGGGGTTTCACAATGTTAACCAGGATGGTCTCAATCTCTTGACCTCATGATCCACCCGCTTTGGCCTCCCAAACTGCTGGGATTACAGGCGTGAGCCACTGCGCCCAGCCAATTTTTGTATTTTTAGTAGAGACCGGGTTTCACCATGTTGGCTAGGCTGGTCTTGAACTCCTGACCTCAGATGATCCACCCACCTCAGCCTCCCAAAGTGCTGGGATTACAGGCCTGAGCCACTGTGCTCGGCCAGCATGATTCTTATTTGTGTATTTTGAGACAGAGTCTCGCTCTTTCGCCCAGGCTGGAGTGCATTGCCATGATCTCAGCTTACTGCAATCTCCGCCTTCTGGGTTCAAGTGATTCTCCTGCCTCAGCCTCCCAAGTAGCTGGGATTACAGGTGCCCACCACCATTCCCGGCTAATTTTTCTATTTTTAGTATAGATGGGTTTTCACCATGTTGGCCAGGCTGGTCTTGAACTCCTGACCTCAGGTGATCTGCCTGCCTCGGCCTCCCAAAGTGCTGGGATTATAGGCCTGGGCCACTTTACCTGGCCAAACATGGCTTGATTCTTACTGCAGCAGTGCAGCCGTGAGAAAGTGGAAATCGTTTGTTTTCTGCAAAGTGTCCATGCAGGATCTCCATGAAGATGGTGACAGGGACCCTGTGGTGACACCCATCCTTGGTCATCACTAAGCTCTGTGGGGAAAGCTTGAATCCACTTATGAGCATGATCGTGATATCAACAACAGTAAAATGTCATCAGTATCCACTGCTGTTCTTACTGCTGCTGCAAACATTCATATGGGGTTTCATGGAAGAAAAACATTTATCCCATTTGAACCTCTAAAGAGATTTACCTAAGAAATAAGAGGCAGTGACTAGCAGAGCTGAGCCTTACAATGAATCTTCCAATGCCAGGACCAGTGGGATTGTGCCTGAAGAAGACTAAAAATAGGTTTTATTTATTTCAAAAAAAATAAATTGCATTTTTAAAATTAATTAATTAATCTTTATTTTTTAACTTTTTAATTTTTTTTATTTTTCTGAGACAGAGTATCACTTTGTCAGCCAGGCTAGAGTGCAATGGCACGATCTCAGCTCACTGCAACCTCTACCTCCCAGGTTCAAGCAATTCTTCTGCCTCAGCCTCCTGAGTAGCTGGGACTACAGGCGCCTGCCTCCACACCCAGCTAATTTCTTGTATTTTAGTAGAAATGGGGTTTTACCATGTCAGGCTGGTCTTGAACTCCTGGACTCAAGTAACCTGAATGCCTTTGCCTCCCAAAGTGCTGGGATTACAGGTGTGAACCACCACGCCCAGGCTTTATTTATTTTTTATTTTTATTTATTTATTTTGAGATGGAGTATCACTCTTGTTACCCAGGCTGGAGTGCAATGGCGCGATCTTGGCTCACCGCAACTTCCGCCTACTGGATTCAAGCAATTCTCCTGCCTCAGCCTCCTGAGTAGCTGGGACTACAGGCGCGCACCACCATGCCCAGCTAATTTTTGTATTTTTAGTAGAGACGGGGTTTCACTGAATTGATCAGGATGGTCTCGATCTCTTGACCTCGTGATCCACCCGCCTTGGCCTCCCAAAGTGCTGGGATTATAGGTGTGAGCCACTGAGCCTGGCCTATTTATTTTTTAAAAGGTACTTTTTCTCTGGCTGGCTGTGGCGCCTCATGCCTGTAGTCCCAGCACTTTCGGAGGCTGAGGCATGCAGGTTGCTTGAGTCCAGGAGTTCAAGACCAGCCTGGGCAACATGGTAAAACCCCAGCTCTACTAAAATATAAGAAATTAGCTGGGTGTGGTGGCTCACTCCTGTAGTCCCAGCTACTTGGGGAGTTGAGGTGGAAGGATTGCCTCAGCCCAGGAAGTCAAGGCTGTAGTGAGCCCTGATCATGCCACTACACTCTAGCCTGGGCAACAGTGAGACTATATCTCAAAAAAAAAAAAATTTTTTCTACTTTTATTTTAGATTCAGGGGAAACGTGCAGATTTGTTATTTGGGTATACTGTGTGATGCTGATGTTTGGGGTACAAATGATCCCCTTACCCAGGTACTGAGAAGAGAGCCTAACAGTTTCTAACCCTTGCCCCTCACCCTCCCTTTCTCCTCCAGTAGTCCTCAGAGTCTGTTGTTCTCATGTGTACTCATGTTTAGCTCCCACTTATAAGAGAGAACATGCAGTGTTTGGTTTTCTGTTCCTGTATTAATTCTCTTAGGATAATGGCTTCCAGCTGCATCCATGTTGCTAGAAAAGACGTGATTTTATTTTTTTAAGGCTGCAGCCTCTAGATTTTGGATGTTTTGAGGTTTATGCTGCATCTGCTTCTTTTTCCTTGTTCCTGGTGCATTGCCTCCCATTGTTCCTCCCAATCTTTGGCTCTTTCTCTTTCCTATATCTCTCTCTTTCCTTCCTTCCTTCCTTCCTTCCTTCCTTCCTTCCTTCCTTCCTTCCTTCCTTCCTTCCCTCCCTCCCTCCCTCCCTCCCTCCCTCCCTCTCTCTCTCTCTCTCTCTCTTTCTTTCTTTCTTTCTTTTCTTTCTTTCTTTCTTTTCTTTCGTCTTGCGTTATCATCCAGGCTGGAGTACAGTGGCACAATCTCGGCTCACTGTAACCTCCACCTCCCAAGTTCAAGCAATTCTCCTGCCCCGCCTCCCAAGTAGCTGGGATTACAGACACGAATCATCACACCGGACTAATTTTTGTATTTTTAGTAGAGACAGGGTTTCACCATGTTGGCCAGGCTGGTCTTGAACTTCTGACCTCAGGTGATCTGCTCGCCTTGGCCTCCCAAAGTAGGAGCCTCTGCACCCGACTTCTTTTATTCTTTCATTCAGGTATAATTGACGTAAAATTAGCTGCACATATTTAAAAGTACACAATTTGATAAGTTTTGATATAAGTACATGTAGAACTATTGCCACATCAAGACAGCGAACATTTCCATCACCCCCTAAAATGCTCTCATGTCCCTCTGTAACCCCTCCCATCCCTAGTGCCAACACCTTACAAGCTCCTACTGATCTGCTTTTAGTGTACATTTTCTAAAACTTTATATAAATTGAATCATATAATTTAAAAGTCTGACTTCTTTCACTCAGCACATTTACATTCATCCTTGCTGTTGTGTGAATCAATAACTTCATAGTCCACTCCTCTTTATTATTTTATTGTTGAGAAGTCCCTCACTGTATAGATATACTACAGTTTGATTATCATTAAAGTTCAGAGGGATTGCCCAAAAGGAAAAATAACTCAAGTCAAGTGTTCCTTTATTTTTTGTCCTTTTAATTTTATATATTTATTTATTTTGAGACAGGTCTTACTCCGATGCCCAGGCTGGTGTTCAGTGGGGCAATCTTGGCTCACTGTGCCCTTGACCTCTGGGCTCAAGCAATCCTCCTACCTTAGGCTCCTGAGTAGCTGGGACTGTAGGTACCCACCATCATGCCAGGCTGATTTTTGTATTTTTGTAGAGACGAGTTCTCAGTATGTTGGCCAGGCTGGTCTCGAACCCCTTGGCTCAAGCAATCTACCTGTCTCAGCCTCCCAAAGTGCTGGGATTACAGGCATGAGCCACCAAGTCTGGCCAAGAAAAATATCCCAAGTGTTCACTAACTGATGGCTGGATAAATAAAAGTGGTATAGCCATACAAAGGAATATTACTTGGCAATAAATGGCAATGAAGTGCTAATACATGCTGCAGCATGAATGAACATTGAAAACATGATGCTAAAGGTCACATATTGTAGGATTCAACTTACAAGTAACATTCAGGATAAAGAAATGCATAGAGTCAGAAAATGGATTAGTGGTTGCTGAAAGGGTTTAGTGATTAGTGGGCAGTGGAAGAAATGGGTAGTGACTGCCAGTGGGCATGGAATTTCTTTTTGGAATGATGATGATATTTTCAACTGGATTATAGGGTCCATTTACTGTTTCAAAATATGACTTTTTTTTTTTTTTTTTTTGAGACAGAGTTTCGCTCTGTTACTCAGGTTGGAGTGCAGTGGCATGCTCTCGGCTCACTGCAACCTCTGCTCTCGGGTTTAAGAGATTCTCCTGCTCAGCCTCCCGAGTAACTAGGACTACAGGCATGCACCACCACGCCCATCTAATTTTTGTATTTTTAGTAGAGGCGGGGTTTCACCATATTGGTCAGTCTGGTCTCAAACTCCTGACCTGGTGATCCGCCCACCTCAGCCTCCCAAAGTGCTAGGATGAGCCACCGTGCCAGCCCCAAAATATTACTTCTAATCATTTGACCATTATAGCTTTGTTGTTTTGGATGCTAAAATCTCTTGTTTTCAGGAGTCATCAGACTAAATAGAAATGTCTTTTGGAATGAGTATACTTTATTGCTAACACATCAGTTATCAGAGAATACCTTGGTAGGGATCAGCTGGCTGACAGTCTGTGAGACTCTCTCCAGCCAAGCTTGTTAGTCAGGGATGCAGCTTCCTCCTCACCTGTCCTTCAAAGGCCAAAAACAGGTGGTAGAAATAAGTCTTTTCAGGTGGCCGAGGAGTAAGGAGGCTTGGAAAACACATACCTTTTCCTGCAAGAGAGGTAACAAAGGATGAGCTCTCATGTTGTGCCTGCAAACATTAATGCACATTCATAAAAAGCTAGGCTTTCACAAAGCTCAAGGCCCTCTGTCTGTCATCAGCTGGGCCAGGAGATGGGGATCCCACCTGGACCATCCCTCTTCCTCATGACGCTTCACCAGCCCGGCCTCTGAGAACCATAAATAAAGACTACTGCGAATGGCTTCTCTGTCTGACCCTTTAACCTGAAATAAAAATAAAGCTTGGAGAATGTAATCCTGACTCAAGGCTCCTTCTGGGCTTCTCCTTCCCTTACCTGTTGACAGGTGCCTGCCAGACCTCACAGTTACCTTTGATTTAGCTGTAATGGCATCTCCACACTTAGCAGAGGTCTGCCCTGTAATCCTCTCCGAAGCTTAAGTCAATTTATATGGTAACCTGAGAGCCATTTCCTGCTTCCAGATGATGTCACTGTCTGTTAACACATACTGGAATGACCACTAAACTCATGCTTAAGGCGACAGAACAGTAGATCACTCTCAAAGCCAGAGCTGGGTTAAAACAAATATCATATGCTTTTTCAAAAGAAAAGGGATGCTTGATTCCCATATGCTTTTTTTTTTTTTTTTTTTTTTGGTAAATCTCTAAGATACTTCCATGCTTGTTTTCAGAGAACCAAGAACGGATTTTCTGAATGAAAATCTGCACATGAAAAGTCTAAGTGCATTTGTAGAGATAAGGGTGGCAAATTTGAAAGTGAGTCAGAAATCATGGACATAAACATCCAAGTTTCCAACTGAATTTTAAATCATGTATTTTTCTCAATTCAGTGTCTTCTCCCCTGAAATGCATTTGCATTAAAAAGTTACTTTCCCACCCTGCAGTTTGTCAGTTTCAGCACAGTTCTGGGTGAAAAAGAATTCTAAGTGTCTTTGTTCCCAATTTGCTTGGGGATCTGGAATGTTAAACAGTATCTCCTAAACACACCAAAATTATGACCATTTTGTCATAGGACAGATGTGTGTGTGTGTGTGTGTGTGTGTGTGTCTGTGTGTGTTCATTTTGCTTTGTTTTAAATGTGGGAAAATAAAGAATCTTTGGCTTTAACTTTTCTGAATATACTTAATTCCATAATGTCAATGTTTCTTCTCCCCAACTGGGTTGATTTCCTATTTCTGCTGTAATAAGTTACCACAAATTTGGTAGCTTAAGCAACCCAAATTTACTTTCTTACAGTGCTGGAGGCCAGCAGTCTAAAATCAGGGTGTCAGTTCCTCCGGAGGTTTCAGGAGAGAATCAGTTTCCTTACCTCCATTTGTAGATTTGTGGCCCCTCCCTCCATCTTCAAAGTGCATCACACCAACCCCTCTGTCTTCAGCTTTTCCTGACTGACCCTCCTCACCCTTGTGATTACATTGGACCCACCTGGATAATCCAGGATAATCTCCCATTGCAAGATCCTTAACTTTATCCCATCTGCAAAATCCCCTTTACCATGAAGAGGCAACATATGCATTGCTTCTGGAATTAGGAGGAAGGCATCTTTGAGGGGTCATGGTTCAGAGTACCACACCTACTACCACAAATATTTAAAACCTGTGAACTGGAAGTGGGGCCGCCACCAGGCAACAGCTGAGATGCAGAGGAAGAAGTGTTTACATACCTGGAGCGTTCTCACTGTAGCTCTTTCCAGGAACAAGTTCTTCTGTCTGGCCATGGGCTCAAAGCCCTCTTCAGAGGGCCATCCTTCAGCCTGGTCTTAGAAAAAGCAGGCACTGCCCTGCTCCTTGTTGTGGGATGACCGAAAGAGCACTGGACTTGGAGTGACTTTATACAAGACTAATTCACTTCTCCAAGGAGCAGCTTCCTCACACGGAAAAGAGGAATAGCACACTCCCCACTGCCGCCAAGGGTGATTAAGGTTGGTGCTGAGGGTGCTTTATAAACTGTAAAGCACTGTGCAAATGTATATTCCAGTGAACTCACTTTAGGGTATCAATTATGTAACCAAGAGGTGGTTCGCAGTAGAAAGGACTTGAGACCCCATCTTTATTTCTTTCTTGTGTGTGTGTGTGTTTTGTTTGTTTGTTTGTTTGTTTGTTTGAGACAGAGTCTCACTCTGTCGCCCTGGCTGGAGTGTAGCAGTGCAATCTTGGCTCACTGCAACCTCCATCTCCTGGGTTCAAATGATCCTCCTGCTTCAGCCTCCCAAGTAGTTGGGATTACAGGTGTGTACCACCTCGCCTGGCTAATTTTTGTATTTTTAGTAGAGACAGGGTTTCACCATGTTGCCCAGGCTGGTCTTGAACTCCTGGCCTCAAGTGATCAACCCGCCTTGGCCTCCCAAAGTGCTGGGATTACAGGCATGAGCCACCCACCTGGCCAAGACTCCATCTTTCTAAACTCTCTGGTCAGATGTGGCATCTGAGGCTCATCTGATTTCACAGGTCACAGAGTTCATCACTGGCTGGGCTGTGCCTGGAACCCAGATATCCTGATTCCTGGTTCTGCCTTCTTTCCATTGCCTCACTGCATAAGGATAACGCATTAGACTTGGCACACAATGAGCCATTCCCTGGGTTTCTCTCACGAGGTCTGCCCTGAGTCCTCCACCATTACCACCCAGCAGAGCACTCCTTCTCTAATGATGATCAATGAGCAATTCAGGCCCAGGTGTGGCAGCCCCACAGTTTCTCATCTCAAGTCTGTGACTCCTGTTTCTCACAACCAGATGTTTGTCCAAATAGTCTCTTGCCCACCACCTACTTTGTCTCTGCCTCCAAACCGAGCCAGTGTCACTCCATTTGTCACCTATGGGATGATCAGCATCTAATAACTTTCCATTTACACAACTCTGGTATTTATATGCCTCATTTCTTTTTAAAAATTTAAATAAATTGGCTGGGCACGGTGGCTCACACCTATAATCCCAGCACTTTGGGAGGCCAAGGCAGATGGATCACCTGAGGTCAAGAGTTCAAGATCTGCCATGGTCAACATGATGAAACCAGTCTCTACTAAAAATACAAAAAATCAGCTGGATATGGTGACAGGCACCTGTAATTCCAGCTCCTCAGGAGGCCGAGGCAGGAGAATTGCTTGAGCCTGGAAGGTGGAGGTTGCAGTGAGCTGAGATTGCACCATTGCCTTCAGGCTGGGCAACAAGAGCAAAGCTCCATCTCAAAAAAATAAATAAATAAAAATAAAAATAATTATGTTAAGTTACATTCATTAAATTCACCATTTTAATGTCCACTCTGTGAGTTTTCACAAACAGATACAGTTGTATAACCACTGTCATAGTTAAGATACAAAATAGGCTGTGTGCTGTGGCTCACGCCTATAATCCCAGCACTTCAGGAGGCCCAGGCAGGAGGATTGCCTGATCCCAGGAGTTCAAGACCAGTCTGGACAACATGCCAAGACTTCGTCTCTACAAAAACTACAAAAATTAGCTGGGCGTGGTGGCATGCACCTGCAATCCCAGATACTTGGGAGGCTGAGGCGGGAAGATCACTTGAGCCCAGAAGGTGGAAGTGGCAGTGAGCTTTTTTTTTTTTTTTCTGGGCAGTCATCTTTGACTGATGAGCTTTGATCATATCGCTGCACTCCAGCCTTGGTGACAGAGTGAGACCCTGTTTCAAAAAAAAAAAAAAAAAGAATGCCAGGCATGGTGGCTCATGCCTATAATCCCAGCACTTTGGGAGGCCAAGGCAGGCAGATCACTTGAGGCCAGGAATTTGAGATGAGCTTGGCCAACATGGTGAAACACCATCTCTACTAAAAATACAAAAATTAGCCAGGGATGGTGGCAGGTGCCTGTAATCCCAGCTACTCGGAAGGCTGAGGCATGAGAATTGCTTCAACCCAGGAGGTGGAGATTACAGTGAGCTGAGATTGCCCCACTTCACTTCAGTCTGGGTGACAGAGCGAGACTCCCTCTCAAAAAAAAAAAAAAAAATCCTGTCAGGGAACATGCTTTTCTGTCAAATCTAGGAAATAGTTTTCTATTCCAAAGTCACAACTATTTTTTTCTACAACTTTAAAGTGTTAGATTTTATGATCCATACTTAGTTAATTTTTGCATAGGATGTGAGGTATAAATTGAGATTCATTTCTCTCTTTTTTTTCACATTAGGATGTATAATTCTTTCAGCATCATTTGTTGGAAAGTCTTTTCTTTCTCCATTAAATCGCTTTTGCAACTTTGTAGAAAATCAGTGAGTTGTATATGTGTATCTCTACTTCTGTATTTGCTATTTTGTTCCATTGATTTGTCTTGATTTCTGTAGCTTTATAATGAGGCTTAAACTCAAGTAGCATGAGTCCTACAACTTCGTTATTTTAAAAAATTGTTTTGATTACTTTAGTTTCTTTGCCTTTCCATATAAATTTTACAATCAGCATATTGAGTTTTATAAAAACTCTTGCTGGAATTTTTACTGAAATGGTAATAAAGCTATATAAGTCAATTTAGAGATAATTGGCATCTGAACAGCATTGAGTTGGCCATGCATGGTGGCTCACACCTGCAATCCCAGCGCTTTGGGAGGCCGAGGCGGGTAGATCGCTTGAGCTCAGGAGTTCAAGACCACAATGGGCAACATGGCGAAACCCCATCTCTACAAAAAACAGAAATATTAGCCTGGTGTGTTGGAGGGGAGAGGACTACATGCCTATAGTCCCAGCTGCTTGGGAGGATGAGGTGGGGAGTATGGCTTGAGTCTGGGAAACAGAGGTTGCTGTGAGCCAAGAGTATGCCACTGTACTCCAGCCTGGGTGACAGAGCAAGCCACTGGCTCAAAACAAACATTAAGTCTTCCAATGCACGAACATAGTGTTTATCTCCATTTATTTAGGTCTTTCTTGATTTCTTTCATCAGTGTTTTGTGGTTTTCAGCATGCAGACATTGCACGTGTTTTGTTAAATTTTTTTCTAAGTATTTAATTTTGTGTGTGTGTGTGTGTGTGTGTGTGTGTGACGGAGTCTTGCTGTGTTGCCCAGGCTGGA